CTACTGCTGACCAGGTTATATAACCACGTTGTTAGGCATTCCCAGGTCCACAAGAAAGTTCTGGCCTTGTTGCCACAGAAGCAGATTGGACAGTGATCACTGAGGCCTCTGAGTTTGCGTTGAGCCCTGCCCCTCTTCAATAGCCAGTTGACAAGGTCTGCCTTAGCCTCTCCTAATATGTGGTAATGAACAACCCTTTTGATACTTCACCAAGGGGAAAGCACCAGCTTTGCATTTTCTACTTTTCACTTACAATTTCACTTTATTGACTGTATAATTTGTATATGACATGTATGATTAAAACCTAAGAAAATAGAAGATGGAAGGGAAGTGTCCTGTGTTTGCCCCAGCTGTTGCTGTCTGTCACATATAATTAACGTTAGTTTTGCTTGCTGGGCGTGGTAGCCCACGCCTTTAATTCCAGCACTTGGGAGGCAGAGGCAGGCGGATCTCTGTGAGTTCATCCCTGGTCCACATAGTGAGTTCCAGGCCAGCTGGGGCTGCAGAGAGACGCTGTCTCAAAAAGACAAAAAATAATTAATTAATTAATTAATTAATATATAAATAAGTAAATAATAAATAACATTAGTTTTGCTTGGCTGCTCAAGAGGCTGAGTATAAATGAACACTGATTTATTCTTATCAGTCCTGCAGACTTCTGCAGATACACAGAGCAGGAGTATCTATTTACATCCTTGTATACTTCATTATTATTCTCTATGGTTTTTCTTTTCAGTGTTGGAGATGAAACCTAGAGCCTTGGCATATTGCTAGGCAAGCACTCTACCACTGAGCTACATCCCCAGCCCTTGGGTCTCACTGTGCAGCCTGGGCTGGTTTCAAATGTGCAGTGCCTCTGTCTTTGCCTCCCTAGAGTTGGGATTACAGATATGCAACACCATACCTTGTTCAGGATGATAAATTTCTAAAAGCAGAATCAATGTATTGAAGGACATATACATCTGCTAACTTCAACCAAACTTTTAAAAATGTTTTATTTTATTATTTTTATTACTATTTGTTTGTTTGGTTGGTTGGTTTTTGAGATAGGGTCTCCCTGTAGCCCCAGCTGGCCTGGAACTTGCGATGTAGACCAGGTTGGCCTGCCTCTGCCTCCCAAGTGCTGGGATTGAAGGTGTCCACCACCATGCCAGGCTAAGATTTTACTTATTGTGTGTAGGTGTTTTGCCTACATGTAAGTGTACTATGTGCTTGCAGTGCCAGCAGAGCCCAGAAGAGGGAGTTGGATCCCCTGGAACTAGAGTTAAGGACAGTTGTTAGCTGCTATGTGGGTGCTAGGAACTGAACCCAGGTCCTCTAGAAGAGCAGCCAGTGCTCTTAACTGCTGAGCCATCTCTCCAGCCTCTCAACCAAAAATTTTTTTTTTTTTTGCTCTTTTTGAAATGGGGTCTCCCTATAGCCCCAGCTGGCCTGGAACTTGCTATGTAGACCAGGCTGGCCTTGATCCGCCTGCCTCTGCCTCCCAAGTGCTGGGATTAAAGGCATGCACCACCATGCCCGGTCATCAACCAAATTTTTGACAAGAGCTGAACATCAAATACAAATTATTGCTTTTAAGTATTTAAAGTATAAATGCATATATATGCTTTGTTTTACTAATTGAAAAATGAGTTGTATGTTCTCTATAATAAACAATTTTGTCTTAAACTTTACTAAATTCACCTCTGAGTGCTGCTTAGATACCCAGGAACTTTGAAGGCTCTTTCTAAAACAAATCTCTCATATAATCACATAAAATACTTGTCAAGAAGTTTTGAGAAGATAGTACTATCAAGGCTACCTTGATGTATCTAAAAAGTGCTAAGGCTGATTTTAAATGCCTTCTTGAATTTGTAATTTTTTTTTCTTAAAGTAATGAAAATCTTTGTTTTAGGAACTGGAACAGTATAAGAGAAGTTCTTCCAAGACTTGGAAACAAATTGAGCTGGACTCTTGAACCTAATTCAACTATTGTGATTTATTTCTTATTCCCAAATCCAAGTAAGATTATTTTATTAACTCTGTGGCAACATATGAAGAGAGTTAGGATGTATAATTTGTTAGGGGAAAAGCTCAATTTCTTGTCCTAGTGCAAGTTTCTGAATGTTCTGGTCTTTTAGAAGGAAAAAGTAGTTCAGTATATGCAATTTTTTAAAATAAAAGAATTTTATAACCACTACTTCTATGTAAGCAGGTAACTTTTGTTTGGCGTGTGTGAGTTTCTGTTTCTACTTTTTAGGAATATGAAACCAAGAGTGATCACAGTGTTAAATATAAAACTAAGTGCCATGCTGAACACATTCCCACTAGGGGTAGACTCAGCTGCAGCTGGTAGGAACCACGATGAGTTCACAGGTGTCACATCTCACCCTTCACAGGGACCCACAAGAGGCACCTGAAAGTGCGTGCATAAAATGCACAGTCCTGGTCCTCACACCCAGAGATTCTCAACCAGTGTCTGGAATGGAGAGTTTTTAAGCAGCAGTCCCCACCCTCACCCCCAGTGAAACTGACATTTATTTTAAATATCACCTTTTTACAAACATGCTAATCTAGGAAGTTAGCCTATCTTCATGAGTTGGGCATAACCAGGATGATTTCCAAGGTGGTATTACCTGTAAGAAGGCTGCTCATGCTGTAAATGAGCACCTGCTAGGCAAGTTTAGTTCTGAGTAATATTGCTCAGAATCAGGAAAGTTATTTATTCTGTTTTTCCATTTCTACATGTAAAAGGCATTGACTTAACATATCATGAGCATAGCTTTTTTTCTTTTCTTTTTTTGGGGGGTGGGGTGTCTTTTTGAGACAGGATCTCTCTGTAGCCCTCAGCTAGAACTCACTAAGTAGATCAGGCTGGCCTTGAACTCACAGAGATCTGCCTGCCTCTGCCTTCTGCTCTGGAATTGAAAGTGTGTGCCACCATGCCCGGCAAGCATAGCCTTAAGTAACCACATTTACTAACTCTAAGAACACCAGTCCTGGTGTGGTGTATGAGTCACCAGGAGGCTGCCAGATTATTGCGATGAAATAGTAGTCTAAACTCTTTGTTCTGCATGTGGTTCTAACACTTAGACGAATTTTCAGCATGTTGTTGAGGGGTCTCAGTCCTAGGAACAAATTCCTTGCCTCCATGCTGTGGAGAAAGAACATCCTGATCCCAGAAACACCAACTTGGTGGGAAGAAACAGCCTGTTCCACAATAGTAATAGGAATTTTTATTATATAATTTGATTTTCTTATGTATCACTGACCATTTTTTGACACAAACTGTCATGTGTTGAAAGCCATTGTAGTGTTCTAAGATGCTATCACTAACATTTAATAGCTTGGAATCACGTGTGGTATCAATTTATCAAATGTTTCTAAGCTAGAATGAAATTCATCTGCATATGAATAATAGAAGATGTTTCCACTTACCTTGTACACCTGTGTCTTTGCTAAGTTGAAATCAGTGATTTCAAAAGGGGCTCCTGTGGGACTCTTTGAACTACTTTCATAGATTACCGTCTCTAGAACTGCCTATAACTGATATGACATATATAATCTGTATGACATTATGTAACTATTATACCATAATCATCAGTGTCACAGACCTTTTATAAAAATTGACAATACTATTCTGGTAATTTGCCAATGTCTCCAGATCCTTAAATACTGTTCTAAGCAAGAGAATTTCATTGTGGTTTCCTTAATGAAACCATCTTTCCTACTTTAACATGAGACACTTCAAGTGCTATAATTTATCATTCTTACAAGCTAGGTCACAGTAACCGAACAAGTTCATGTGCTCTAATTCTCACTCATAGTTACCATGGTAACAGTGAGAGATTTTTTTCATTTCGGACTTGTTCATGAATTACTTGCAGATAAATCAGAAAGATAGTCATTTAATAGAAAATCCATTTTTAATAGTCTATATCCATCATTTCATCCTTAGAAGTAATACCAGTGTATATATTTGCATTTATCAACATTCTTTCTCTTTACAACTCAAGAACGTGAATTCCTAGTGTGTAACCCTGTTCTACTTGATGGAAATGTGTCAGCTGAGTATTTTTTTTCTATATGGACTCTACTTATCAGCTGTTTTCCAGGCTTTCAGAGCTCATTTCTCAATGAAGATACCTTGTCCAGTAACATAGACTTTTAGTTTTCTAAGTAAACAAGCTAAAAGTGAAGAAATAGCAAACATCCTTAAAAACATTCCCCCAGAGGTTTGATGTATTCAACATTGAACCTCTTCCTGCAGTTTTTAATTTGAACCCTCAGAGGAATCATTGGGCAGTATGTATTGGGGGTGTTCATCATCCATCATCTGTCCAGTTTCATGTATTCAACATTGAACCTCTTCCTGCAGTTTTTAATTTGAACCCTCAGAAGAATCATTGGGCGGTATGTATTGGGGGTGTTCATCATCCATCATCTGTCCAGTTTCTTGATGTGATCAAGTAACCCAGCCCAGCCATGTGGCCAAGCATATGAAGTGTGGGCTTTAAATGACAGGTGCACCTTCTTACCCATTTTCTCATGAGGCTTTGCCTCAGCCAAACCAAGAGCTTTTTTTAGGTTTGCTTTCAGTCAGTAATCAAGCATTTTCTTTTTATCAAATTCTTTATCAAACATAAACACAATTTTTTAAAACTGACTCATTTTTCTGTGTCTTGAAAAAACAAGTAATCACATTAATCACCCATAGGTTTATGGATTATTATTATTATTATTTACATTCTTGAACCAGCTCAGTCATAATTTCCAAATACTACATGTCCCCACAAGCTGGTATAGCCAAGAACTATGAGCAGTTTCCACTGCACTCAGGGCTTGAGTAGCTCCAAGGAATTGTAAAGGTTAGAAGACTTAAAATGTCCAGGAAAAGAACCCATGGCATTCTTAGGCCAGACATCCAAAGCAGGCATGTATGTCTGTTGAGTCCCATTTTCTGGACGATGTTCTTGACTATCTGCTAATCAGATGGTCCCGGATTTTAAAAACCACTATTCCTAGGATAATAAGAACTGGAATGAATGCATATAAAATCAGAAAGTTTGCTGTGACTCTGGATGTGGCACCGGGGCAGGTGTTCTCGATAAACTGAATTCCTTTGGTAAGGGAACACATTGGATGATTCAGCATAGAGCTATTAGCGTCACCTGCCAAGGAAAAGATTGATGGTGTCAGGCATGATGGGTTCACGTGATGTAATCATAAGGCTTTCACAAATACTCAGGAAGTGTTTAGCATGCTGACGAGTATCCTTCATCAAAGACACATGACATTTTGGAGAACCCAAACTGAGATGAAGGAAGAGTGAGCTGAGGTCTTGGCTTCATTTGAAGATAGGAAAAGGTTTACTTCTATTTTGAGAATAGATTCATTACCTGTTTATTTTTGGGGGGGGTTGTTTTGTTTTGTTTTGTTTTGTTTTTTGGTCTTTTTGAGACAGGGTCTCCCTGTAGCCCCAGCTGGCCTGGAATTCACTATGTAGACCAGGCTGGCTTTGAACTCACAGAGATCTGCCTGCCTCTGCCTCATGAGTGCTGGAATCAAGGGTGTGCACCACCACTCCTGGCTCATTATCATGTTCTTGGTTACACTTACACCCAAATATCCTGATATTACTGACATTATTACTTAAAAGTACTTAAAACAACCACTAAAATCCGCCATGTTCTTTAGTTGTCTTCAAAGTGGCCTTGGGGTTTCCAGTTGCCCTGGGCACTTGTGTTCCCACTGCCACTATTATGGGATTCAAAAATAGACTTTTGCCATCAAAAATGGGTTTACTCACTGTCACTTTCTAAGAACATCAAAGTGACCTTGAACTATTGAACTCTGACAGGAGACTAACTAGACTATTGAATGTTTTCCTTTGAAAATCAGAGAAAATGATGGGCTTTATTTCAAAAACAAAGTTGAAATCAATTTATTATAAAAATACAGTATTCCTAGGGAGTTGGGGAGATAGCTTAGTTGGTAAAGTGCTTTCCACATAAGCATGAGGACCTAAGTTCAAACCCTGACTGCCAGATAAAAGGCTGATCATAGTGGCGTGCACATGGTAATCCCAGCACTGGAGAGGCAGAGATAGGAGGATCCCTGAGGCTCGTTGGCCAGCCAGCCTAGCCCAATCAGTGAGTCCCAACTCCTAGGGAGAGACTGCGTTAAACAACAAAGTGGAAAGGCACAAAGACCAAGGTTGTCCTCTGGTTTCCACACAATCTCATACAGTGCACACACAGACACAATAACATTTCTTACAAAAGTACACTTCCCTAGGAAAATGCTTACTCAGAACAATATGTAAAATAATATTGTATTATAGAATACTTACCACAAGTGAAGTTCAGCCCATAGAACTCATTGACTATGAGAATCTCACAACAATATTTTTGGAATGTAAAATAACTCAAGATTTTAAAAGGAATGGGCATTTCTTCTATGTTTCTTCAGAAAAAGAAAAAAGAGAAAATGGGCTTTGGTGAATAGTCTTATTAAATGAAAATAAAGGCAGTCTTTATATTTTCCAATCTAAATATAATTTCCCATCTCTATTATTAAAATGTTTACTATAAAACTCTTCAAACAACATTGAAAACTACAACTAACTACCATTGCCCAGAACTAACTGTTGTTAATGTTCTGGTGGTATATATATCAAATGTATGGGGGTTTTTTGTTTGTTTGTTTTTTCTTTTTTTTTTTTGTCTTTTTGAAGCAGGCTCTCCCTGTAGCCCCAACTGTCCTGGAACTCACTATGTTGACCAGGCTGGCCTTGAACTCACAGAGATCTGCCTGCCTCTGCCTCCCAAGTGCTGGGACTACAAGCGTGCACCACCATGCCCGGCTTCAAATGTATGTTTATAAAACTTATACTGCATGAAAGAAACTTATACTTCATGAAACTAGACTATACTCTTAATGATTTTTATTCCAAATACATGTCTCAGACATTCTTCCAAGTCAGTAAATGCAGTGCTTTGTCATTTTTACTCAACACCCAGTAGTCCATTGTAGAGAGACTTTAGCAGTCTTCTTATGATGGTTCTCTCTGTCTCTGTCTCTGTCTGACTGTCTGTCTGTCTCTCTCTCTCTCTCTCTCTCTCTCTCTCTCTCTCTCTCTCTCCCCAAAAGCATTATTTATATAGACATGATACACATGCAAGAAACACACCTAATGCATATTGCATTGGAGGAAGAGTCTGACTAAACAGAGACCTGAAGGTCCTCACGTATGAAGAGAAGAACTAATCTAGAATACAAGGAGGAAGTTATGGAAATATATGTATGAAATACTTGTTCTTTGTAAGGCTAGTTCTATGTGCCTTGGGAATTCTTTTTAAGTATCCTATCCCTAAGAAACTCATTATGTAATTGGGGACATAGAATATATATCCTCAATACTACAAAAATACATAGTAGTGAATTATTTGTGCCAAGAAAGTATAAAACCCAGTGCACATCCACGTCCTCCTTGTATTCGATTCTTACCATCTCAGTATTTGCAGGTGGCCCCCAGGCCCCACAACTCTCAGTTATTGGCAGTTTTCTAAGGCACAAATGAATGGACCACACTGAGAGGCTGCATGGAGGTTAGCTGCATGGAGTAGGTGGGAATATGTGAAGGACTAATGGAAGAGAAAAGACATTTAGGAGGCTGAATTGGCCTGAGCACAGGCCTGCCAGGTCTGCCTCTGGGACTGCACGGTCCTCTGGACTAGAGCAGAGGAGTAGAAGTAGGAGCAGAAGGGGGTGAGTTTGGATGACAGTTGGAAATAGTAGTTTCAGGGCCTTGAAATGAGTTGACACTGAATAACCATGAAAAGGATCAAGTTGAAACATTGTTTTAAGGAAACTAATGCAGCACCAACAAGTAGAATGGACCAGAATAAGAGAAGAGAACAGGTTATAGCAAAAGTTCAGGTATCAGATGGCTAAGGCCTGGAC